AATGTCCTGTTGTTCCTGCTGCCCTGTCCTCACAATGAGCTGCTGTTGGGGCTGGCTCTGGCCCCATGCCCATGTTTCCTGGGCCCTCAAATGAGTGGGTCACAGCAAGCAAGCCAACCTAGCTGTGGGCCTTGCCCCGTTTCCACCACTACTGCTGTGGCTACTATGGGACAGTTGAAAGGCCAGGCTGAGGCCGTGGCCTTTGCTGGTGGAAACAGCCTTGTGCTTCACTGAACTGCCATCAGATTCCACTCAGTCACTTGCATGCAAGATCTTGAGCGAGTCACTTTGCCTTTCTGGGGTGCAGTAGCTCAGTCCTGACAGGACCATCATGAGAATTAATGACAGTGTGGCACAAGTAGGACTCAGGTGTCATAGGTATAGGCTGTCTGGAGAGATTAGGGACAACATCATGGAGGCTTGGGCTGGGCCTTGAGAACAGAGAGCATTTTGTTAGGCAGAGCGTTGGAGGGATGAACTGAAGAAAGAACCTGGGCCAAGGTCCCCAGAGAGCAGAGTCCGTTGCTAGTCACTATCAGGGTGCACATGAGGGTCTTTCAAAAAGGTCTCAGGCACCGGTTTGAGGCCTCTGGGAGTTGACTCTCACATAAACTGTGAGAGTGAGGCCATGTGGATAGAGGACCATATTCTCTTAGAGGGTGCTGATGGGGTCTAGAAAAGGAAAGCCAGTGGGTCACCCTTCTTTCCCTGCAGGGTCTGGCTGACCTGTGAGTGACCTAGAGATCTTGGTGCCACCCTTCCCTAGGAGGTGCAAGCTTCCATAGAATGGAGGATACTGTGAAAAGGCCTCTGGTCCCTGGAGGGTAGTCATGAGGCTAAAGAACCTGCCATGTTGGAGAAGGTCCCAGAGAGAACTGGGATTGTGGGGAGCAGGGTGCTTCTAAAGTAGACAGAATGAGCCCCCTTGGGCTCTCTTTCACAGAGATTCTGGGGTAGACATCAGGATGTTGCTCTTGAGAATTAGACTTGAATAGCCAGTACCTGACAACCTTCCCTTGGGTCTTCTTTGTCCCTTTTCTCAGGAAACAGCCACGTCAACAGGGTCTGGGTTCAGGAAGGTCTGTCCTTGTCCCAAGTGACCTTGCCCCTGAGTAATAGCTGACCTTGGCTGTTAGAGTATTAGGACTTTAGTCCAGGAACTTTGAGGCTCTGAATCTTGGACCTAAGCCAGACCCAGCTGTACCAGTGAGGAGCCCCCTGCCTGCCAAGGGAATATCTGTGTGGCCGACTTTCCCAACACAGGCTGGAGAATGTCACTGTCTGCTCAGGGAGTCAGGACAAGAAAGGGCACTGATGCTAGGTGTTAAGAGTTACATAAGACTGCTGCAAGGGGACCACTTAGCAGAACCAATGGTTTGGGTCTGGGAGACTTAGTGAAGTCCCAGGGTTGGGACTGCCAGCAATAGGCCACTGCAAGCAGTAGGCCTGGTCAGGTGAAACAGGCAGGAAGACCCAGCCAACAGCCCAGAGGGCCAAGTCTAGGCATTCTTGAACTGAATCTTATGCTTTTTAGAGTGACACCCCACCTCCATCATGACTCAAAAGCCTGAAAAATGCCTATCCTTGAAGATCTTGTCTTTCCAGCACTTCTTCAGTGAATGCCCAGAACTGTTGCTCTCCACTTAAGGGAAGAATCCTCCGTCCTCTTTTCACTTAAGGAAATAGCCCAAGGGGTTGGGATGTGGAGCAATACTAGGAGAAATATGGGGCCCAAGGATTCAGTTTCCTTGCTATATTGCAGGGTGAGGTCAGCATTTGGCTCTTGGGCTTTTGAAGATTCCACAAGGTGATGTGTGTGGTGGTTCCTGTGGCTCACAGCCCAGGGTAAACCTGGGCCAGGGTTACTGCCTCTGCCGATGAGGAGGGGCAGGTGTGTGGTTTGAGACCTGGTCCTGTTGTAGACATGTGATCCAATCTCTCAGAACACAGTGTAGTCACACAGTGTTCCCTCAGGCTTGTTGTGAGAAGTAGTTTAGATCTGGGATAGGGAGGTGATCTGTAGGGATGGAGACTGCTGGCTGAAGGCCCTCCATGGTGTCACCTTGCTGAGGGGACTAAGGCTGTAGTCTCCAAGGACCATAGGAAGTCAGCAAGGGAAGCTATCACAAGACTGCCGTGGGCACTGAGGGAAGGCATGTGATTGGCTACCTTCTCTCCCACCCAACCTTGGTTAGCAGGGAGGAACTTAACCCAGGGGCTGGGGACGGCAGAGGCCCTTTGTACAATGGCATCAGTCCCAGATCCCATCCCACAAGGGGCAGCCTGGGGCAGCTTACATGTAAGTCTCATCACAGCAGAGAGCCTCTGGCAGATCGAGCAGCTGCTCCTCTCTGAGCCTACCTTTTCTATAAAATGGGTAGATGAGTATCTATGGCAGAGTTTTGCAACTGAAATGAAGAAAGGGGGTGGTATACAGGTGAACCGGCTGCATACTGATGAGTACCCATGAGCACCCTGTCTTGGGAGTGGAATGGGAACAAGACAGAGGTTGGTGCCTGCTCACCTCCGTTCACCCAAACTTCCCAAGTAGAGAGGCCACACCCACTCACTGCCCTCTCAGAACCTGGAAAATCTTGGGTGCTGTTTCCCTTCTTGCCTTAGATGGGTTGCTTGCTCCACTTGGCAGGGCAGAGGCTGGAGGAGTGAAGAAATTGACCTAGATATCTTGGCGTGAGCTGAGGGTCCGGTGGGGGTAAAGGCCTGCCTTGGTGACTAATGGGGCAGGTGATCCTTGGTGTGGAGTGCTGTGGGCAAGGGACAGAGCTGACTTCTTGAAGAGGTGGTTCTTCAGCCATGAGATGGTCCCGCTGGGCCTAGGAAGTGATCTCATGACCATGAAAGCCCATGTCCTCTTAGCATCCAACACCACAGGGTACATGATGGTGGGTTCACAGCAGACCCGCTCTCTCTGGGCCCAGATTGGGTGAGGACAGAGGTTGTTGTGTGTTAGGGCTAGGGTGGGAGGGGCAGTTGGTAGGTAGATGCTAGGCTAAAACAGGAAGGAGCTGCAGATGCACAAGCCCTGACACTACTAGCCAGTGTTCTGTGCTGCCCAGGAGCAGCCTGCCCCTCTTCCTTCCAGTGAGCTGGGACTGCAGGGCTGGTGTAGCCTCTGCTCCACATTCTCCTCCTCCTCCCCCTCCCCCATGCACATACTAGCAGCCCTGGAGAGGTGGGAAAGTCAGGTTGACTAGCTGTGGCCAGTTGGGCTGGGTGAGTCCAAGAGGCCTTAAGGGCCCTGAGCTTCTCAGCCGCTGTCACCCGGAACCGTCCTAGCAAGGGGTGGACCAGCTGGGTCATGTCTGTGGAACAGCATGATGAGGAAGGAGGGGAAGTGCTCTGCAGCCACAGATTCTGGGCCCTGGCTATTTCGGGACGGGGGGTCTGGCCTGGGCCTTTAGAATTAGGACCTCCTTGGGTCTCACTGGACAGGCCCAGTGTGCTAAACCCTTCCTATTCCTTTCCCCAGTCAGCCAGCCAGCCAGCATTTGCAGGTGCCTTCGGGCATGAGATTGCCGTAGCTCACCAGCAGTGCCCTTTGTACTTCCTGGGCCCGGCCCCTACTGGGCCCGCCCTGGCTCCCAACATCCTAACATGGCAGGAGTTTCCATGTTGGGCCAGAAAGCAGCCTGATTCCGCCTGGTTGCAAACTGGTTTTGGACCCAGACTTCAGGCCTCAGGAGCTGTGGATCTTGGCAGTTCCTAGGGGAGGTGACTTCCTAAGCATCCGAGGCAGGACATATCTGCTGTGGTATGAAGCCCCATCTGGCAGGGAGGTAGCTGTCCATCCCTGGCCCCAGTTGGGGTCTTAGCCCCAACAAGAAGACAGACCTCCCAGAGCATTGGTCAGTGCTGTGGTAAGGAGGGAGCTGGGCTGTTGGAGCAGGGATTGAGGTCGAGGACGGAAACCTGTCTGAACACCTAGGATGGTGTGGCATGATGTGTAGGCCACTGTGTGCCTTTTTGAATTAGGCATCTGGAAAGGATCCTGGGGCAATAGAGCCATACAGCTTATGAGGCCTGTAGCCTTAGGCCATTGGGGAAAAGATTGGCTTGCCTCACAGTTTTCTTTTGCTTCGGCCTGTTTCCTCAGAACTCTCTGTGGCCAGTTTCAGATTGGCATGGAGAGGCATAGGGAAAAGGTTGACTGAGTCTCCTGGGGTGGGCAGTGGGCCATGTCTGGAGGAAACTGAGGTGCAGATGGATGTGACTTGCGTAGGGCTGCACAGCCAGTGAGCAATCAGTGAGAAGTGGGCTCGGGCCCAAGACCAGGTCTGTTAGAGCTAGTCCAGCTCTAGGCTCCAGGTGACATCTTTGTGCTTGCTCCTTGTGTGCAGGCTGTGTTAGGCCCACTGATGCTGACCTGGGCCCCAGAACTCCAGCCTGTGGAACCTGACTGAGTCTCAGTATTTTGGGTACTGTGCAGAAACTGTAGCATTCCTTCTACTTATAGCCTCCTGTTCTTATCTGCTAAATGAAGCAGTCAAGGTTCTTAGTAATTTCCTGCCTTGTGTCAGGCTGGCAGAGTGGGACTGCAAGACAAAGGGCTCTGCTGGCAGTGGTATTCTGGACAAATGTTGGGATAGGGTAACTACTTTGGTCCTGGACAAAGTTCAGGGCAGAGGAGGTAGGAGAGGCCCCAGAACTCCAGAAGGCTGCTTGGACCTAGGTGGCTCTTTCCGGCAGGTCTCTGCAGATGCAAAAGCTCACTATTACCCTCCAAATAGTCATAGAATCCTCAGCTTGTTATTCTTTTAGGGGCCAAGCCGTTTGCCCAGCACCCCATAGTGGGGACTGGCAGGCCTCACAACCATCCTAAGACTTACCTGAAGATAGAAGAGTGTGGAGGTTGGGAGGAGTGACTGCCTCTGGGGAGGGGAGTGGGAACCGGGACAGAGCAAGTGGGTGGGTAGTTGGCAGTTAGCCTGGTCCAGGCCCTGGCAGGCTCTGCCTGACATACCAACTGCCCGCCTCCCCAGGTCTCATCTGATGCCAAGGCTGAAAGAGTCTCGCTCCCACGAGTCCCTGCTCAGCCCCAGCAGCGCAGTGGAGGCGCTGGACCTCAGTATGGAGGAGGAAGTGGTCATCAAGCCTGTACACAGCAGCATCCTGGGCCAGGATTACTGCTTCGAGGTAGGTCCCACCACAGCCCTTCCCCAGTCTGGTCTCCTTCAGACACCCTGGAGTTCTGTGACCTCGGCAGGGAACAGGTTCTTGGGGATAGTGGCAGGAATCAGCTCATAGCTTTTGGCTCCTGGGAGACAAGGTTGAGCTTGGGGGTAGGGAAGGTCTGCATACCTGCTCTCTATACTAATAAGTAAAGCTGCCAGTAGGTGAAATTGAGTAAGAAAAGTTGCTTAAGCCCCAAAACCTATTCTCTGGAGCCTGCTCACCCCCAGTGTAGTGTGGATTGGAAAGGAGCCTCTTTCTCTGTGCAGAAAGCTCAGACCTTTCCTGCCCAGCATTCTATGGCCCCAGGTGATAGCACAGGGTCAGGGATCAGCCTGGGCAGGGATTACCTGTACAGTCCCTCATGGTAAATGGGGAATCTGAGGCCTAGAGAAGGCAAGATGTCAGAGATCATGCAGCCAGGCTAAGACCAAGCCAGGACCAGGCTTACTAATGCCACAGGAGTTCCTACTTATTTCTCCACTTCTCCTTCCAACCCATTTCAACCTCAATAATCATACATAGATCAGAGAGTTCTCTGGTAGAGGAATGAGCCTGCTAATGACAAGCCACCATTTGGGGACTAGTATGACAACCTTCTTGCATCTCCCCATATCTTGTGCCCCCCTCTGCTGTTTTTGGATTAAGACTCCTGGCTGAGTGGGTTGGATCTGGACTCAGACATCCTCACCTTGGGACAGTTGATGCCTGTCCACTTGTGCACAACAGGGCCCAAATTCAGAATGTACAGGCCCAGGTAAGGCATCTGGTTTCCATGTGGAACCCTGGGTGTGGTGCCAGGGGCAGCAGGGACAGAGTGGAAGCAGCTTGGGTCAAGTTCCCTTGCCTGGAAAAGATGTCTAAGTGGTTCTGGTAGGAACCTAGGATCTGGCATACAATTAGATTTCTATGACCTTCGTTGTTTCTGTTGCTGGACAAAAGAACCCTGGAGATACCAGATGAGTACTGAGGTGATTGTTCTGTCTACCCTTGTCTGGTACCCCATTCTGTCTTTCTCTTCGCTCATCTGAGGGAGAGGGAGATCAGAGTCAGACAGAAAGATGCTTTCCTGTTTGGACAGAAGAGTAATGAGCCAGGGATGAGGAGGCAGACCCAGCAACTAGATGGCATGGGTCTAGTCTCTTTCCTCCCTCTGACTTGCCCTGGACAAAGGGCTCAGTGCACCATCTGAAATAGGAGGTATCGGGGTAATTATGAGCCTTGTCCTTCCTCCTTCCTGGCTGTGTGACGCCGAGAGGTCCCTTTCCCTATAACACTGTTCTGCCCACCCCCACAGGTTACAACATCTTCTGGAAGCAAGTGCTTTTCCTGCCGATCAGCAGCTGAGCGGGATAAGTGGATGGAGAACCTGCGGCGAGCAGTGCACCCCAACAAGGTAGGACTGTACCCCCTCTTGCTAGAGAATTGAAGTGAGGCTTGCTAGAGAATTGAAGTGGACATGAGGAAGCAGGAGGGCTGGACCTTTGGTACAGGCAGGGCCCAAGTGGACTCAGACAATTTGAGTTGGCCAAGCTGATACAACTGGGCTGCTGTGAGCCTATACCCAAAGCTACATATTAAGGAGGCTGAGCCAGAGAAATGGGTATTGGGGCTTTGGGGAGTCAGACTCTGTGTCCTTCTTGTGTCCACTTGTCCCCACTTTCCTGTAGCTAACTCCTACTCATCCATCCTGTTCTAACTTAGACATCTGTCCCTTTCTCTAGGCAGGCACCCCTAACTCAGCTTGGTGCCTTCCTGAGTTCCTACTGCTCCTGGCCTCCCCCATCTGGTTGGGACCTCAACTGTAATCCCCACTCCTATGTCTGTCTCCCCATCTGACTTGTGGGCCTGGGCTGAGCTGTGGTCGCTGTGACATCACTAAGGAAGGGACCAGTATTCACCTCTTAAGTTCCTTTACAAACCAACAAACTGAGAACCATAACCTGTGATGTGGCAGGCATTAACCTCCTTCCTTAGTCTCTCCTTCTCTGAGGTGGGCTTATTTCATTCCCATTTTGGGGGAAAGCAAACTGAGTCCAAGGATAAAACACTACTTGTTCAAGGTTAGTGAACTAGCTAGTGATCAGCAGGATAGACCAGAGATCCAGCCATGTCCATCAGACCTCATCCCCTGTATCACCACCCTCAGAGCCTCTCCCAGATTCCTGCAGATTCCTGGGCTCTGGACCTGTTGGGTTTGGGGTGGCAGCTGCAGCTGACCACCCCCGGCCCCTGTGTTCATGCAGGATAACAGTCGGCGTGTGGAGCATATCCTAAAACTGTGGGTGATTGAGGCCAAGGATCTGCCAGCCAAGAAGAAGTACCTGTGCGAGCTGTGCCTAGATGATGTGCTCTATGCCCGTACCACGGGCAAACTCAAGACGGACAATGTCTTCTGGGGTGAGCACTTCGAGTTCCACAACCTGCCTCCTCTGCGCACAGTCACTGTCCACCTGTACCGGGAGACTGACAAGAAGAAGAAAAAGGAGCGCAACAGCTACCTGGGCCTGGTGAGCCTGCCTGCTGCCTCGGTGGCTGGGCGGCAGTTTGTGGAGAAGTGGTACCCAGTGGTGACACCCAACCCCAAGGGTGGCAAGGGCCCTGGGCCCATGATCCGCATCAAGGCACGCTACCAGACCGTCACCATCCTGCCCATGGAGATGTATAAGGAATTTGCCGAGCACATCACCAACCACTACCTGGGGCTGTGTGCAGCCCTCGAGCCCATCCTCAGTGCCAAGACTAAGGAAGAGATGGCATCTGCCCTGGTGCACATCCTGCAGAGCACGGGCAAGGTGAAGGTGCGTGTGGTCCACTGCTGTCATGAAAGGCCTAGTAACAGGGACTGGGCTACCTGCCCATCCTGTGTCCTCTCCAGTGGAGGCCTTGGGGTCATGGATCATAGCCAGGTGGGCTCCGTGACTTGAAAGTTGTATCATGAGGTAGGGGGCTTCATACTCCCCCATGGCAAGGCTGGTCCTTGAGACCCATGTGGAGGCATGGATGTATTGTGGCTTTAGTGAAAGACTGTGCTTGCCTTCAAGTACTTTCTCTATTATCCCAGAGGCTGGCCTGTGGCTCGAGAAACAGGCATGTAGCTGGGCTTTCCCAGCACACATGGGCCCCATAACCTACCAGCCCTAGCAATCCAAACTCAAACATCCAGTGGGGTATTGGGTTTGGCTGTTACCCCCAACAGGTAACCAACATCATAGCCCCTATCTTCACCCCCACACCCTTACACTCAGACACACAGCTCTCTCTCTCTCTCACAGAGATTGAGATTCTCTCTCTCTTTCTCTCTCTTTCTCTCTTTCTCTCTCTCTCTCTCTCTGTCTCTCTCTCTCTCTGTCACACACACACACACACACACACAGAGAGAGAGAGAGAGAGAGAGAGAGAGACAATCTCTATATGAGAGAGAGAGAGAGAGAGATACCCAGCCAGCTCTGGCCCCGGAGCTTAACAAAATATGGGATCATAAGGCTGTAGGGGCCCAACTTCCCCCATCTCTCACTTTTCAAACCCTGATACAGTGGAAAATGGATCCAGCAGGCTACACCTCAGCCCCCACCCACCTGGTTTTGGGGCCAAATAGGCTCCTTGGCTGGGTGGTCCTAGAAGGCATGCCATCTCCTACCTGCCCAGATTAGTGAACACGGCTCTTGGGCCTAACTGGTGTGGTGAGGCACCCCTTCTTCACTATGTTTTTTCTCTTAGAGGGAGCTGCCAAAGGGTGGGGGGTAGAAGAAAGAGGGCTGGGCTAGCTGCCTATGACATGGATAGACCCCAGAGTCTGTCCAAGGAGCTGGGCCTTGACCCTCAGGACAGTGATGTGGTTTGAGAGCTAGTGGTTTGTGTGATAGGGGTGGAAGACTGCCCAGGGTCATGGGGTCCAGGTAGGGAGCCAGGCTTGGGCACTCCATGGTGCCCCTTGTCCTCCTACCTTATCCCAGAGACCCTGTCAGCAGTGGGCCAGGGCTCAGCCAGCCCTGTGGGCCCTTAGGGTGGGGAAGCCCTCGGGGTGGGGAAGCAGTGGCTGGAGTTTGGTAAGTAACTGATGTTGCTGACATAGTACATTCTCTGGAACACTCGGGAACGAGTGGGGTATTCTTGTGCAAAGCAGAAAATGTGATGGGGGCCGCTTGTGCGATGAAGCACAGATGGCCTGCCCACGCAAGGTGATGGCGGCATTCACTTACACACAGTATCCCCTACTGGCCCTCTCCTCAGGCCATCACTTTAAGTTTCTATTCTCAGACTTCCCTATCCTCTCTGTATGATCTTGGATAAGTAAAGGGGCTTGGGAAGCAAAAGACTAGGCCCCTGGGTAGCTGTGTAGCCTTGGACACATTGTTTTCCAGCTTTGTGCTTTGCTTTCCCCTTCTTGGGACCCAAGAGCATTTCATCCCAATGCTGGGGCCTATACCACCACAGGAGGTCAGGGAGACCATGGGCTTGAGTGGGAGCCCTAGCAGAGCTCTTATGTTTGCTCAGTGTATTTCAGAGATAACCCTAGTAGTTATCTACAGGTCAGGAAAGGATTCTTAGGCTTCTTGACTCTCAAGGAGGCTAACGGCAGCTTCCCCTTGGCCCTTCCTGTCTCTTCCTGTCTCTCCATCCTTCAGTTCACTAGCCTGGTCTCCTCTGCCTGGGACTTGATTCTGTATTTCAAGGAGCCCCAAAGTTGACACATTGGAATGAGGGATTTTCAGACACCAGAAACCTGACCCAACACTTAGGTTCTGTGCTGGCTGGTCCCTTTCCCTCATTCTGGCTGCCTGTCTGCCTCTTTTTCCCTTCTCCAAGTCACAGATTGACTGTGGGCATGAGGTCTCCAGAGTGAGGGAGGTAACCATCTGGGCAGTGCTGCAGTCAGGGACAGTATGGCTGAGCTCCTCTGCTGAGGTCTTCCCATGACACTAGGTGGGACCTAGTGGGCAAGGGGCTCACCAGCTATCCTCTGAAGCAGTCTGAGACCCACAGCAGTGAGGAGCTGTGGTGCCACAGCCTTCAGCCACGGGCAGGATCCTGCTAGGTGGACATCAGCCTTGCTGTCACTCTGAGCATGAGGCTCACTACCATCCAGGGCAGCTACACCGCTTCTGTCCTCTCATTCTTCTCTGTGGGGCTGCAGAGAATGAGTCTGTGTAAGGTGAGAAATCCCCACCAGTCTTGGGTGGATCCTGGTGGTTGCTTGTACTACAAGCAGAGAGTGGTCCTGTCCATCCTCTGCAAAGGATGGTAGGGGAGAGGTGAATTCTCCTGTGGCCACACAGATAGGCCTGGACGTGGCTGAATAAGGGTTTGAGTCCAGCCAATCTGAACATGATGATGGGTGGCTATGGCTCCTTATGAGGCATACTTCCCCATCCTTGTACCCTGCTCTCTTACTAGGCTGCTTGTGCTCCCTGATAGCCTACAGTATGGGTATTCCATTCCTTTCCATTTCCTCAGTAGCATGGCAGTTGAGCAGCCTTGAGAAGCAGGGGCTTCTCTTCTGGTTGGGTCTGGAGTACTCCAGTTGTGTCAGCAAGCTAACTCAGATCCTATCCTACTCACCTCCTGTCTCTCCAGGACTTTCTGACAGACCTGATGATGTCAGAGGTGGACCGCTGTGGGGACAATGAGCACCTCATTTTCCGGGAGAACACGCTTGCCACCAAAGCCATTGAGGAGTACCTCAAGCTGGTCGGTCAGAAGTACCTGCAAGATGCACTAGGTAGGAAAGATGCAGGCCAGCAGGTGGGCAGAAGACTGGACAGTGTGCACCCAGCCCTCATTCCACCTTCTTTCCTGGCCACAGGTGAGTTCATTAAAGCTCTGTATGAGTCAGACGAAAACTGTGAAGTGGACCCAAGCAAGTGCTCGGCCTCTGACCTCCCTGAGCACCAAGGCAACCTCAAGATGTGCTGTGAACTGGCCTTCTGCAAGATCATCAACTCCTACTGGTCAGTGTCTGCCCAGGACCCCTCGGGAGTCTTGCACTGTATTTGGGGCCCAGGCCTTCCTGCATTATTATTTTGCCTGTCCATCTGTTCTAGGTCAGTGTGCCCACAGTGTGCTAGGCACAGGGGTCAGAATCTACCCTTTGCCTGACCCCACTGAATTACTGGATTGCCAGGCTGCTGTTTTGGTTCTTTTGGGACTCTCAAATATTGGAGAGTATTCCAGAATGTCTGTAGGACACAGTTTTTATAGTATTATCAGAAAGAAGTTGGAAATGGCAGTCCATTTTTACCTGTGACTGGTGAGTGCCCAGCACATGTGAAGGCTAGTATATCATAGAGTGGGACTGATGAGGCCCTGTATGGGCACCCACTGTAAGAGTCCTCACTGACTTATGGTGCTCCTGCCATGGGCTCGTGATTGGGCCCAGCAGGGCAGGAGGGGCATGTGTGGGTTTTTAAGCCAAGCACCAGGCAGGAATCCTGCTGGCACTAGGGAACAGAGAAGAAGGGAGTTGCCAATAGAACAGGGCCTGTGAGTAAGCTGCTCGTCTCTTACGTGGGACCATGATTGGGTCTAGGATCAGTCCCTGGGAAATATCCAGTAAGGCCGATATCCTGCTTGCTCCTGGGATATGTTTGTGATGGCCAACTGATAGGGTGCCAAGTCCAACCTTACTGTTGGAGGATACGTGTGTCCAGGTTGTCTTGCTGCTACCCCAAATGGGTTTGTTTTCACACTGGAGAAGCTGCCTAGACTTCAGTCTGAGTCACTGTTCCACTCAGGTCTGACGTCTCTTCCTACCTAAACACCTCCACAGCCATACCTCTGGTCTTTGGTTGTTTTTTTCACTCACCCACCTTGACCTGCACAAACTCTTGCTCTGAGGCCTTCCATCTGCCCCTCTGTGGCCCTTCATTGCACCAGACAAGGTCTGCTTACCCCTCTCAGGGCCCTGCTGTCGCATCCCTGATTCCATCAGAGTGGGATTGCATCTGTGTTTGAATATCTTTCCCACATATGCAGGAACATCCTGGGGGCAGGTGGATCCACCCACTCAGGGCTAGGCATGCAGGAGGGCCAGGGGGTGTGTTTACTGCTTCCAAAGGACAGGCAAAAGTAACCTTGCTAGGTGAGCAGTGACCTTGGGAAGGGGGCAGAGGGAATGGCAGGAGGGTTTGTGCCCACCTGCCCAGGTTCCTCAGCTCATGTTGCACAAAGTGCTTACCTGGGGCCAGAAATGTGCCACTTTCACAGCCTTGGACCTGGCTAGAGGGAACAACCAGAGAACCTTAAACTCTTGAGAACACTCTCCCCATCTCTTGCTGGGTCAGGCTTTCACCCTCTGCCACCATTCCCAGGGCAGCTGGGTGTGGGACACAGGGAAAATATTCTGTGGGCAAGGATTTTCCATTTCCTCTTTCTGGCATCTATCAGAGGCTCTTTGCTGTTCTGGACAAGGCCATTGGTAGATACACTGCTCAGTGCCTACCACTGCCCAGTTCTGTGCCATGTACTATGAGGGCCAGGGCTAAAGACTACTCACCTCACTTCTTCTCCTGGCATCACCTTGGTTTAGCCTTATTCATTGTCATAGAGCCTGCTGGGCCGGCTGCTAGGTTTATGGGGGGAAAGCATGTCAAGCTGATCAAGCCCTATTAGGATCCTGGTACCTCGGCCTAAAGATGGCTAAAGATCGTGAGAGGGCAGACGTTGCTGTCAGTTCAAGTAGGGCCAGGGAGGCCAGGGTCTTGGTCATGTCACCCTGACCTTGAGAGAGCCAAGCATAGACTGGGTTTAGGGGAGCACTAGGGTTTGGTCTACCCCAGCAGGTGCAAGTATATGTTTTAGGGTAGGGTAAAAAGGTAGGAAAGCCACTTGAAGGTTGAACAGGTGGGGCCTGACTGAGAGGTCAAAATGTCCTGTGGAGCCAGGAACCCTGGCTTCTGGTGTCTTCTCATTATGTGTCCTCGAGAAGTCACTGCCTCTGTTTCCCTTCCATCTAGAGCAGAAGGAACTCTGTTCTTATCCTGTGGATAAGGGTATTCTCCTCTTCTTGATTATTTGAGGTTCTTCCAGAAACCTCTAGGTTCCTATGATGTTATCCAGGCAAAGGGAGTGATAAGAGCTCAAGGGATGCTGATCTGTCCCTCGAGTTTTCCAGATCCTCCGCGCCCAGATGCCTACTGTTAGGGTGGAAAATGTTGCCCCTGGGCAGGTAGAGAGGCAGTTCAGTTCTGCCTATGCTACTGATGCTGTTAGGACATAGAGCCAGCTCCCCAGGCCTTGTCTCCCAGCCACTTGGCTCCTGACTAGAGTTTGGGTCTCCTGCTAGCTGAATACCCTGTCTGTGCTGGCCCTGTGCTGGTTACTCCCCCTGTACTATCTCAGCTCCCCCAGCAGCCCTACCCAGTAGGCAGCCCTGACCAACAAATGACTGACTGGTTGGATCATGGATGCAAAGAGCTCAGTACTCTTTGGAGGAGGGTTTGAACCGAGGGTTCCGTGTGACCCAGAACCAGATTCTGCCCTGTGCCCTCCTATCCTTGGCCCTTGTTGACTATCAGGCCCACCCTTGTCTGTCCCCTCCACAGTGTCTTCCCAAGGGAGCTGAAAGAGGTGTTCGCCTCATGGCGGCAGGAGTGCAGCAGCCGTGGCCGGCCAGATATCAGCGAGCGGCTCATCAGTGCCTCCCTCTTCCTGCGCTTCCTCTGCCCAGCCATCATGTCACCTTCACTCTTCAACCTGCTGCAGGAGTATCCTGATGACCGCACAGCCCGCACCCTCACCCTCATTGCGAAGGTTACCCAAAACCTGGCCAACTTTGCCAAGTGAGTGCCACTACTCCTGATGGACAGAGACCCAAGGGCTGTAGTCCACAGGGACAGGCCCCTGGCATGCTTCTGTCCCTGAGCTTGGCTGGGCACACGCCCTGCTTTGTCTTTGTCATTCTCAGTTCCTCCCTGCCCCCTCGTTTCAAAATAAAACCTCCTCCACACTCCATCCTCCTAGTAAAAGTACATGCCATTTTGGTAGGTTTCCTTGAATTTCAAAGGTGAGAAGACAAGATATTTTTTCCTTCTGCCTTTTTGAATTAACATTATCATAAGGATTCTCCCCATCCCTTGACGTTTCTAAGCTCTAATTTGAAACAAGTGACTGATATCCCATGTTTTCTTAACCATCCCCTGAGTGGCCGGGCGCTCAGGTTTTAGACTGCCTTGGATTAATGCTATCAGGATGGCTTTGCTTGTAAAACATTTCTGGTGTATTCAGCTGCATTTCTTAGAGCGTGTGAGTGGAAGTGGCAGGGTTTGGTCATCTTGTCATTCATTCACAAAGTGTGGATTAGCCTTCTAGGACTGTTTCTGCTGGGCACTGATGCAGAGATACATCAGCCCCAGCCTCAGCCCTCAAGAGAGGGAGCCATGCAACAAATAGCAGAGCAGTGACTGAGATACACCACTCTCAGGAGGGCTTGTGGCTTGTTGGGGAAGAAGATGGGGAGCCCATTCATCCAGCTCAAGGAAGGGGAGCAGCAGGAGTAGAGACTGGCATGCCGGGGAGGGTGGTGGTGCCATGGGACTCAGAATCATCAAGTACTAGGCCAGGAGAGACAGGAGACAAGACTAAGAGAATAGCATGGCCCTGAACGCCACATAGGGGTTTAAACAAGTGAGAGGATCACCCTTAATCTGTTCTGGATCCTGAAAAGAACACCAGTCAAGGGGAGGGAGGGGAAGACCCAGGGGGAGAGCATAGCTGTGTTTCTAGCAAAAATGTTAGAAGCAATGCAAATGTGTGTGTGTGTGTGTGTGTGTGTGTGTGTGGTGGGGGAGGGACAGTTCAGGAGGCAGTGGCTGCTAGGGACAAGGTTGGCTGATAATGTTAGCAGGCATTGCCTATTGGTGATGAGAAAGAGGGAGAATTGACTGCTTCCAGGCTTCTTGCTCAGGCATCTGGGACTCCCCGGAGGAGACGTGGGTGACCGTGGGCCCAAGAATCATCTATACCAGGCATTGAAACTTGGAGAAAAGAGGAAGGATAATGGGCTCCTGCGAGGGTCCTGTGATTAGAGGTTTCCCAAAGGGTCACCAGTCTTGGCCTTTTGCAAAGGAGGTCCTGGTGACCTAGGTCACAGCAGATTCAGTTGACTTGGAGCGTCAGTGGGATGGGCTGTGGGGGTAGGAGGATGGGAATTGAGGTGGCTCAGAGAAGGGTTGCTCACCCTGGCTACCCCCTCTTTCCAGGTTTGGCAGCAAGGAGGAATACATGTCATTCATGAACCAGTTCTTGGAGCACGAGTGGACCAACATGCAGCGTTTCCTGCTGGAGATCTCCAACCCTGAGACCATCTCCAACACAGCTGGTTTCGAGGGCTACATCGACCTGGGTCGTGAGCTTTCCAGCCTCCACTCGCTGCTCTGGGAGGCTGTCAGCCAGCTGGAACAGGTGCCTGTGGCCATAGGTCAGAGGTCAGGGCCAAAGGCTGCTCTTCCTTCCAGAGCAGCCAGAAGGTCAGAGGGTGACATGGGTCAAGTAGCTGCACCCTCAGCCCTGGTTTCCAGCCCAGGCCCTGTGGAACATACCAGTGATCTGGCTCTGTTTTCTTTGTTGATGAGTGTGGCGTTCACTCTTCAGCACCAGCCACAGCAGCTCACTGTGGGTATGGGGCCTGGGGCTGTGCTTACGCGCTCCACCTCTGGTGGCTGAGTTCTACATATGAAGAAGGCTAGATTCCTACCCAAGAAGTGAGAGAAATGGGATTTGACTTAGCCACTTCACCAAAAACACCCTTGCTCTGGGTTTTGAAGCCACCCAGATGAAAAAGATTGACTGAAGACCTGTACCTCCACATACCATGCAGGAAGTTACAAACCTTTCTAGAGCTAAAGGGTCTGACTCAGTGGTAGAGCTCTTGCCTAGCATGCAGAAGGCCCCGCGGTTGATCCCCAGCACCACAAAATAAGCAAACAAAACCTTTGTAGATTGTCCTCAGATGTCAGTTGACAAAATTATTCCCTAAATACCTGACGTTGCCTCAGTTACCTGGACTGAGCCCTTGCCAGCCTGGCATTCCACTGACCCCATTGCCGCCCCACCTCCCCGCCCACCCCACCTCCCCACCCCCACCCCTGCCCCAGCAGCCTCAGCCCACACAGTGAGCAATTTTTTGGCATTAAAGTCCAGACCTGTTAGGAAACACTTCTTGAATATCTGTTGCTTTCCCGGGCTCCAGGGGACCACTTTACAAAAGTAACTAATGCTGAAACCAGGCCTGAAGGCCTTCCTGCCTTGGGTCCCATCCCTAGAGGTGGCCACTTGGAGCACTGTGATATGCAGCCTTCTAGACACAATCTTTGCGTGGGTGCACACATGCAGGCACAAGCACGTGCCATTCTCTTTTTTAAGTTTGTTTCCAAGTGAGAATGTACTGCATACACTGTAGTGTGTTTCTCATCCACTTTTATGGGCATCTTTCCACATCACTGTCCTGTACCACTTCTGTAGCCCTTTGAGTAGCTGCAGACTATCCTGTTATGAAAACAGTTTATTTTTATTTAATTATTTATTTTTGTAGTACTCGGGAGTTGAACTCAAGGCTTCGCACTTGCTAGGCAGACAATTTACCACTTGAGCCGCCACTCCAACCTGAGCACAGTTTATTTCACCATCCTCTACTGATGGGCACATGGGTTAGCCCCAGCTTTCTCTGAAACTGCCACTGTTGCCATCACAGGCAGTTAATTTTGCAGCCAATTTATCCACTTGCCTTTAGCTGTGAGAAACTCAGGAGGTGGGAGTAGAAAGGAAAGCCAAATCCCTTCCTCCAGTCCCGAGCCTGCACTGCAGCTTACACCAGTCACTCACTGCCACCCTTACTGAGCTCTGTGCTGATCATTGTCCCATGGATCTCACAACCAGGCAGGAAGTATGGAAGGTGATCAGCATTGTCTCCCAGGTGATGAGGTGCAATGAATATTTGAAATGAAGCTATTTGCCTCTACAAGTCTGCTGTATTGGCTGGACAAGTTTTCACATTTTGCCTTCACCGTTTGACACATGGGTTTCCACTGTGCAAAAGCAGTGTCCCCCTCCCTTAGCTTAGTGCCTGGCTCAGAATTCTCTATACCATGTCTAAGCCATGACAGGTTCAGAAGGGCCCAGGTAGTGCCTCTGTCTGGCCAACACCCTGTGATGTCTGCCCTGAGCCTGGGCCATCTCCACTGGGGCTCAGCTATCAGAGGGGTCAGGCCTAGCTCACTTCATGGAGTAGGTAGTGGGAGGGGGCTGACACAGAAGCCTTTTAGATGATAAAAGTGGAAATTCTAGTGTTCCCAGAATTGCTCTCTGCTAGGTGCCAGGGGAGGGCAAACAAGCCTCAGGCTGGTGGGTCTTGTACTCCTGCTCCAGGAATATCTAGAGCGCTGGTAACCAAGACAGATTTACAGATCCTGGGCTCGTCCTTTCACAAACCTGCTGGATCTGACTGGTGGGCCAGGGATTTGCATTTCTGAGGAACTGAGTGAGTTCTGCAGCATTCTTAGTCTCTGCAAGTGGCCCTGTGACCTGCTTTTTGCTATGTCTTTGCAGAGCATCGTGTCCAAACTGGGACCCCTGCCTCGGATCCTGAGAGATGTCCACACAGCACTGAGCACCCCAGGCAGTGGGCAACTCCCTGGCACCAATGACCTGGCCTCCACACCAGGATCAGGCAGCAGTAGCATCTCAGCTGGGTTGCAGAAAATGGTGATTGAGAATGACCTCTCTGGGTAAGAGCGGCGTGCCAGGTGTGCTGGGAGTAGCAGGGCATGCATGCAGACTAGGCGTAGCCCATCTGTAGTTGCATAATGGGGGAGAGGTCACCCACACAAATGCTTATGAAACAAGCCTGATGAGTCTCAAAATGTATAGGGAAGGTCCTAAGTGGTAAACCTCTGTTGGGGAGAAAACCAGGAAAGACTTCCTGGAGGAAGTGCTATAGGTTTTGAGCCTTTTTAGAAAAGTAGCATTTCCACTAGGAAACAAAGCATTCTAGGTAAAGGGCCAAGCACCAGCAAAGGCCTGGAGAAAAACCCCTGTGCCCAGTGACAAATACCAGTCCCATATACTTCTAGCGTTTTGAGATTTCCCCATGCTTAATAAGAACAACCATTCTTATTTGGGGGGCCTTTAGGAGTTGAGATGATTGCTAGGCTTTGAGGCTGAGAGCCCAGAGAATACAAAGGTACTGAGCCCTAAGTCCTGGGTGCAGCCTTCTCAATGTACACAGCACACATGGTGGAGTGGGGGAAGATGCCTTTGAGTGTTTAAGTCAGAACGGGAAAACTTTGTTAAAGAGTTTACTCACAACCATTTCTGTTCCACTCCTTTCCCTGTCCCCCAACCCCCACCCCCAGCTTGTGAGAATGAAGCTGGAGCAGCAGAGTGGGGAGTGTGAGCTTGTTCCAAAGTGGTGCCAGCACAGGCTTTGAAGCAGGCAGGAGGGATCGAGCCAGATCTGGTGCAGGGGTTGGTGCCCAGAGGCCATAGTGCAAGTACCCAGGTTCCTCTGAGTGTTGACTAGGGAGTCTGTTCATTTAACCTGCCAAGTGGCAGAGCAGTCACCAGGCAAGAGTTCGTGTGGGGATACACCTGAAAGGCTATGAGCTGGCTAGGCTTGTGAGTACTGAGGAGACCTTACCTGTGTGGCGTGGCAGCCCAGACCCCTGGCTGGTTTTACTTTCTCTCATTCTATTTCCTGCCCTTGTCCAGGAGTGCCACAGCTCCAAGTGGCTGCAGCTGCCCTGTCTCAGGGCATTGGTGTTTGTTTCATCTGAGGCCCCAATGATTCTTTGTAAGCCCCTGTCAGGCCCCCAAGTCCTTGCTGCTTCTTACCCACTCAGAGCCTGTGCACTACCACATTTCCTCCTCCACAGCCCACCCAGCCCCACTACAGATGCGCTTGGTCTTCAGGGATGTCCAGGAAGAGACTGCAGATAGGTGTGGATTAAGGAGGAGGCTGGGGCTGTGGTGGACCAAGGGAGGTGGAGCCTGCAGCACAGGTTCAGATCTGCCCCACCTGCTTCTACACTTGACGGATCCTCCTCTTACTCCCTGTTTTTGCCAGAAATGCCAGCCCCCGCCTGTCACTCAAACAGGAAGTGGCAGCAGGAGGCTGGGGAGGGAGCAGTTTCTCCAGGCCCTACTTAGGTTATCAGGCTGATTAGAAACTAGAGGTAAGAGGCAGAGGGAGCCCTGGTGACTTTGAAGTCACAGTTCGCAGTGCTGGACCCATGGGAGGCTGAGAGCCAGTGAGCTTGAGGGCTTGTGTTTAGCTAAGGGGATTTTTCCAAAGTACATCAGGCCCCAGCACCTGTTGTCCCAAGATGCAACTGAACAGGGAAAGTCCCTGCCAGGCAACCAAGCCTGAAACTAGCAGGACTGGTCCCTAGAGCAGAGATTCTGGTCCCTGGACTCTCCCTTCCTACCACCTAGCCATCTCCATCTTAGCCCTAGCTGGGGCTATCAGGCCCTAGCAGGTTGGCAGTACTGTTGGTTTGGACCCACGTGACTGCACTCACAGTTCTTCTTTTCCCCTTCTTTCCCTGTGTGTGCTTGTCTCCCTGCAGTCTGATAGATTTCACCCGGTTACCGTCTCCAACCCCCGAAAACAAGGACTTGTTTTTTGTCACAAGGTCCTCTGGGGTCCAGCCTTCACCTGCCCGCAGCTCGAGCTACTCGGAAACCAATGAGCCTGATCTCCAGATGGCCAACGGTGGCAAGAGCCTGTCCATGGTGGACCTCCAAGACACCCGCACGCTGGACGGGGAAGCGGGCTCCCCAGCGGGCCCTGACGTCCTCTCCAGTGATGGGCAGGCACCTGCAACTCAGCTGGTGGCTGGGTGGCCAGCTCGGGCAGCCCCAGTGAACCTGGCGGGGCTGGCCACCGTGCGGCGCGCAGGCCAGACACCAACCACACCAGGCACCTCTGAGGGTGCACCAGGCCGGCCCCAGCTGTTGGCACCACTCTCCTTCCAGAACCCTGTGTATCAGATGGCGGCTGGCCTTCCGCTGTCTCCCCGTGGCCTTGGAGACTCAGGCTCTGAGGGCCATAGCTCCCTGAGCTCCCACAGCAACAGTGAAGAGTTGGCAGCTGCTGCCAAGCTAGGAAGCTTTAGCACCACTGCAGAGGAGCTAGCACGGCGGCCTGGCGAGCTGGCACGGCGACAGATGTCACTGACTGAGAAGGGTGGTCAGCCCACAATGCCTCGGCAGAATAGCGCTGGTCCCCAGCGGAGGATTGACCAACCACCCCCGCCACCACCACCTCCTCCTCCTGCTCCCCGGGGCCGCACACCCCCCACCCTGCTGAGCACCCTGCAGTACCCACGACCCTCGAAGTGGAACCCTGGCATCAGCCTCGCCTGACTGGGCTGGCCCTGGTGCCCGGCTGCGGCAGCAGTCCTCCTCTTCCAAGGGGGATAGCCCAGAGCTGAAACCGCGTGCCGTGCATAAGCAGGTCAGCACTGTGGATGGGTGGGGCTCTCAGCGGGCGTCACACCTCATATCATGCTCCTCCTCGGTCATTTCACCTCACCTGCACCCAGCTGCCATCCCATGCTGAGCGGTGCCACGTCCAGCCCCATCCACTCATCTGCAAACCAGGACCAACACAGCCTTAAGGAGCACCAAGCCCCCCTGCCAGATCCTCTTGGCAGTCTGGGTTCAGGGAGCAAGAAGGAGAGATCCAGTCATCTCCAGTTCTATGCCTGTTGAAGCCCTGGCCCCACAGTCTATATCTGCCTGCCCTGCTCTGACCCCACACTTCCTTCCCAAAGTGCTCACATAGGCTGAGCCAGCCTCTATGCACAGCTGCCAGAGGTTGAACATCCCTGTCCCAGCAGGACATAAGTGAATGTGCTTTGAGTTGGCCACTCCTCAGCCGGGCCTGTCACTTTGCCCCTATAGTAACAGAGTATGGTGCTGTGGACTGTTGACTGGCTCTGACTGCCTTCTGAGACACAGATATCCTTGGTAGGCACTCAGGCAGCTGGAGGTCCCCTCCCTTCCCACCATGCCTCTGAACCACTTGTCCCTGTGGTTCCCCATCCCTCCCTCCCTCTGCCTCACCACAGCCCCTCACAGCTGTGTTTCATTGTAGGGCCCTTCACCCGTGAGCCCCAATGCCCTGGACCGCACAGCTGCTTGGCTCTTGACCATGAACGCGCAGTTGTTAGAAGACGAGGGCCTGGGCCCAGACCCCCCCCACAGGGATAGGCTAAGGAGTAAGGAGGAACTCAGCCAAGCAGAAAAGGTAACACTGGACCTGGGCTGGGTGGGCAGGGCGGGCTGCCTTCCACCGGTGCTGAGGAGTCTCCCAAGAGTCCTCAGTGAGGCAGTGCTGCTTGCTTCAGTGATGACCAGTCCCTCTGCAAGGATAGCAGTGAGTGAAATATGGAAGGAAAGTGTCCATAGGGATTTAGCTTAGACCTGTAGGTTTCCAGTATAGGTTGCATATCAGTTACCTGACAGTGGACTTAGGTGCAGACTCCTGGGACTCTTGGGAACCAAAGGCAGGAGTCCCCAAGACAGCTAGGAGAGCCACCCCGCCCAGACCCCTTTTCCCTTGGGTTTGTGCCAGCCTAAAGCCTGATTCTTCTGAGTTCTGTCTCTGCCAGGGCCTGGGGAGGAAATAACAGTTATGAGGATGACAGGTGAGGTCAAATTGCCACTGGGACATTTTCTTCCTCTCAGGGGAAAAAGTTGGCTCTAAAAAATCTAACCCTTTGCCACCTCTAGAATTTTTGGCATAGCACTGGGGTTCAGCTGTACCCTCAAAACCATCCAGTAGTGGCAGCTGCCCTGAATCTGTGGGTAGTCTGTTTTCCATTGGAGGCCAGAGCCAAGGTAGATGGAGGAGCCAATACAACTCTCTCCCCACCCCCACCCCCACCCCCACAGAATACAGCCAACTTTCCCTTGCCTCTGGGTGCTCTCACCCTTTGGGGCCCCAGAAAGCCTGTAGCAGCCTCCTGAGCAGGGGCCTCGGGTCAGTGTGGCAGTGCTCCTCTCCCTAGCCTCGGGTGAGGTCCATCTCCATGCTGCATACACTAACCTCCACCTCTCTCTGGTCCACTGCATCTACCTGCTTTCACTGGTTATATGAAACGGAACAAGGGGACACTACACAGTGCTCCAGGAGGCAGGGTGAGATGGCAAGAGTAGAGGCCTGGCCACACCCCAGGCTCCCTGCATTTTCACATGTCTGGCCCTCTTACTTCCAGGGTTGCCCCCGCTTCTTTCCTGTATGGAGGCAGCCAGCTCCTTTTGCAGCTCACACAGCATTCTGGTGCAGTTTCTCTTGCCCCTCACACCTCCTTTCTCCCAAGAGGCTGAGTCAGATCCGGAAAGCCTGAGCCACCTTGCCTTTGCCTTTTACCTTTCCCGTTCTTTCCATGTCCCATGCCAACTTCCATGTCATTAGGGTTAGGTCAAAGCTGGGAGGCTAGGGTCTCCTCTACTGATGAGTCACTCTCCATGGGACTTGGCTGCTTTTTTGGGTATCACTTCCCCACTTGAGAACCCTCACCTCTCAAGGTACTATCCGATGTCCTTCATATATTCCAGGGTTTTTAAATCTTTGTTTATTATAAAAAGTTCAAGGTTGCCAGGCAAGGAGGCTCGTGCCTGTAATCCCAGCTACTGGGGGTGGAGAGCAGGAGGATTGCAGTTTAAGGCCAGTGCAGGCAAAAAGTTAATAAGTTGGGTGTGGTGGTATGAGCTTCAAGGCTGTAGTTACACCCTTGCTCCTGAGACTTGGGTTTGAGTCTCCATCTACCTCATGGCTCTACAGGTCATTCTGGGAGGTTAGAATGGAGAGACCCTCGGTGTAGCATAGGCTTGTCTCATCATAGCTGCTGGGCCATTCCCTATGGGACTCCCTCCCACCTTGTTCCCACTTGGACTGGGCTCTCTGTCCTGGGTGCTGTGCCTGTGACATGCTGTGTCCTGCTGGCAGGACCTGGCTGTACTGCAGGACAAGCTGCGAATCTCCACCAAGAAGCTGGAGGAATATGAGACCCTGTTCAAGTGCCAGGAGGAGACAACACAGAAGCTGGTGCTGGAGTACCAGGCACGGCTCGAGGAGGGTGAGGAGCGGCTGCGGAGACAACAGGAAGACAAGGACATCCAGATGAAGGGCATCATCAGCAGGTTAGGGCCCCTGCCAGGGGGAGTTGGTCCACAGAAGATCAAGAGGAGGGAAGACCATGTCCCGGGTGGCAGGACAGTGGAGCACAGGGCAGGAGTGAGTGTGAACCAGCCAAGGCCAGCTCCCAGAGGGTCTGGGTACCTGTAAGGAGTCAGGTCATCTTGGCAAGCTCTCTTCGGGGAGTTTGGAAGCTGGAAAAGTGGGAAGGTCAGTTCCATTCAGTGGGAATGAGAATTCAGTGGAGGTAAGAAAGGAAGGACAAAATAACCTCCAGATTTGTATCGAGCATTGGGTGTGGGTGTGAGAAATGCCACCTATCCATGAGGACCAATTTGGGTAGAGAGGAAGAAGTGACGACGCAATTTGATCTGTTGAGTTTCTAGGTGCCTGGGTTATCTGGGGGAGGGTTTCTAGGTCAGTGGTTTTGATGGGTTTCATCTTTGTTGAAGACTATGTCAGGTCTGCCCCATCCCTCTGTCTCTACCTGGGGTAGTCTACAGATAGGAGTGCAGTCCAGAGGTAGTGTACAGGCCAGCCCACCATGCCGCAGTTTTGAAGCTTACTTCCTAACAACAGGAAGACCAGGTGTAGAAGGAGAAATAGTGTTTCATAGTTTGTTTATTTATTCACTTTAAGGACCCGTCCTTTACCTGGACAGATTGATCCAGGGCTAGGGTGTCTCCCTGTGTGGCCTCTTGCTTTTTCTTAACCCTTCCCAAATTTCCCCTACATAGACTTCCTGACTCTTGTTTGCTTCATTTCCCCATGGTGTATTCATTATAAAGGATTAACACAAGCAGAACCCAGGTGCTCAGAAACCTTCTGTTCACTTGACCTCTAGCTATGCTCTTGGCACATCTTCATCCTGACCACCTCTTCCTCCCTGTGTGTGTTCCGAGTTGCCTTCGCTTCTGAATTCAGAGGCTTGCTTAGTATTTTGTTTCTACTAACTGATCCGGGTGTATTTCCTCCCCAGTGGAAATGTCAGTTAGGATGGTTTGGTTGAAAGCGTCATTTAGGTCTTCTATAGCTTTACTGCTTTTCTGTCTGCTTGTTTACTGTTCTGTTCATTACTAAAAAGGATATTAAGGCGTCTAATCATAATTACAGATTCTTTATTTTCTCCTTTCGTTTCTATTGGTTTCTATTGGTTGTTGCTTTATGCACACTGACATTCAATTCTTAGGTGCTTATATGCTTTGGGGATTATTATGTACTATTAGTGAACTGATCTCTTTGGAACATCACCTTCTTATCATGATATGCCTATTCCTCTGAAATACGCCTTACTATATGTCTATTCATGCAGTTACGCCAACTTACTTTCTTTCTTTTTTCTTTTTTTTTTTAGGCAGAATCTTTGTTATGTAGCCCAGGCTAACTTCATACTCAACTCCTGCTTCAGCCTTCTGAATACTGGGATTACAGGTGTAGGCCACCGTGCCTGTCTCCCCGCTTTATTTTTGATTAATGTTACTATTATATAGCATTTTCCATCTTAGACTCTTAGTCCACTGCTTAGTCTATCTTGAGCTGGGTAATTTATAAAAGAAATTTATTTCTCACAGTTCTGAAGGCTGGGCTATCCAGGATCAAGGTGCTTGCAGATTTGGTGAGAGCTTTTGCCTTCACAAGACAGTGCCTTTTTGCTGTGTCTTTATATGTCAAAAGGAATAGACAAATCCTTCAGATTTTTTTTTTGTGGGGGTGAGGTTGGGACTGGGATTTGAACTCAGGGCTTCATGCCTACAAAGGAGGAGCTGTACTTCTTAAGCCACACCTATTTTGTTTTGCTCTGGTTATTTTGGAGATGGGATCTTGTGAACTATTTGCCCAGGCTGGCCTTTAACCATAATCTTCCCAATCTCAGCCTCCCAAATAGCTATGATTACAGGTGTGAGGCTATTTTTTATCTAACCTAAACAATTTCTGCCTTTCAATTGGAGTGTTTAGACCACATACATTTAATGTAATTACCAATTAAATCTACTATCTTTCTATTTATAGCATCTCTGTGTCTTTTTCATTTTTGTTTTTTTGGGTTTTTTTTTTTTTTTCCTCTTTTTGGTGGTACTGGGGCTTGAACTCAGGATCTCAGGCTTCTAGGCAGGCACTCTACCAACTGAGTCACTTCACCAGCCCTTTTTTGTGTTGGGTATTTTCAAGATAAAGTCTTGCAAACTATTTGCCCAGGGCTGGCCTCAAACCACACTGCGATCCTCCTGATTTCTGCCCCTCAAGTACCTAGGATTGCTTCCATGGCCACCGATGCCTGGCTGGACTGCATTTTTTTTATGATTCCATTTTATGTCCTTTTTTTGGCTTATTAGCTCTGTATCTGTGCTGCTCTGGGACAGTGGTTGGTAAGCTTTTCTGTGAAGGGCAGATACTGCAGCCATGTGCTCTTCTGTTACAGCAGAATTCTTTGTGTGATGTGGTGGTTTATTTACTAAAATAAGCAGTGGGCCTGATTTATCCCCACCTACAGGCCACAATGACAGGGACTCTGTCATTATCTTTCTCTGTATTTAGTGTATCTTTCCTCTAGCTGTTTTTAAGATGTTTTTCTTGGGCTGAATGTATATAGCTCAGTGCTTGCCTGGCATGCTTGAGAGCTTAGGTTCGATTCCTAGCATTATAAAAAGAATTTTTTTTTCTTCAACACCAGTTGTCAACAGTTTGATTATAACTATCTGACTACGCCATGCCTCAGTGTGGCTCTTCATGTTGTCTGGATTCGTAGTTCTATGTCCCCACCTCCCTGTTTCTTTTTCTGGGACTCTCATCATCCATCCATTAGGCTGCGTTACACTGCTCCACATCTCACTGGTGCTCTCTTGTTTCTGCGTGTGTATGGTAGAGACTTTATACTGTCTTCAAGTTTGGGACTCATGTCTTCTTCAGTATCTGATCTGCTTTTTATTATTATTATTATTATTATTATTGTGCTGGGGGTACATTGTGACAGTTACAAAAGTTCTTCCAATATATCATAGTTGAATTCACCCCCTCCGTCTAATCTGCTTTTAATCTTACCTGATATTTTTTTTACTTCAGGTATTAATTTCTCACCTCTAGAATTTCATTCTGGTTTAAACTCCAAACAGTTTTTTCTAATGCTCATAGTTTCTTCTATTTTCTTGAACATACAGAACATACATATATATGATAGTTGTTTTAATGTCATTGCCAACTAATTCTATCACCTGTGACATCTGAGTCTGTATTAATTACTTTTCTTATCACTGTGAGCAAATACTTGAAAGAAACAACATAAGGGAGGAAAGACTTATTTTGGCTCATGGTTTCAGGGGGTTCATCCATGTTGTGCCATGTGCTTGGGCAAATGTGGCAACAGGGGCATGTGGTGGGTGAAATTCCCCCCCTCCTTCAGACAGAAGGAAAAAAAGAGACAGGAAGGGGCCACGACACCCCCAGCATCCTGCCCCTAGTGACTTACTTCCTCCAGTGTGGCCCCGTCTTTAAATTCTCACAGGTCTCTCAAAATAGCGTCACCAACTGGGGACCAAATGTTTAGTGCACAAGGCTGTGGGGCACATTCCACATTCAAAACCTAACAGTCTTTTTACTTACGGGTTTTTCTCCTAGTTACAGTTTTATCCTGTTTCTCAGCGTACGGTAATTTTGGTTAGATGGCAGGCAGGTGGTGTTCATTCTTGTGTTTATTTAAATACCCTTGGGATCTGCTCTGGGCCACGGTGAGACTTCCTGGACTCAGCTCAATCCTGAGGTTTTTGGTGCCTTGCTAGGGAGGGGCCTTTAGGTCCTTGAACACCACTGAAGCAGTGTTTCCGGAGCTCCTTCTTGATGCCCCGTGTTCGTGCATCTTTCCACTCTAGCTGGTAGGATTGACACTGTACCTGGCATTGTTCCATGCTTGTCCTTTGCAGTGGTTCCTGCCCTGCCTGCTCGTTTGCTCACATACTTGCAGGTTGGTGTTGAGGATTCATGCAAAACTCAAGGGAGATACATGAAGTTTATGTCTGTGTGGCACTCTGCCCCACAAACGCTATACCTCCACCTTCCTCAACCAGGGAGGCTGCTGGCTTCCCCCACTCTGCTTGCAGGCCATGAGCTAGGCTCACCTTACTGGTTTCCCTTCCCTTAGGAAGCAGATTCCCAGTCTGAGGACCTTTGTTTTAGATACCATGTCTAGTTTTCTAGACATCTCTAAAACAGAGGCAAGAGTGTAAATCTAATCTCCTTCGAATGTAATTTCCCTTATTTGGCACTATCCATCCATGCCCCGCCTCTCCCCGAATTAATTCCTCACCAGCTCTCACAGCAGCCCTAGGGGCCTGCTCAGCACCGTTGACCTCCCTGTGCTCTAATGTGAGTACGCAGGTGCTGCACCAGCAGGGCTGAGCCTGCAAACTGGGGAAGTGTTGAGGGTTGGATCAGAAATGAGGCTGTGGGAGTGGGTGGGCTCCTCTGAGAGAGTGTATTCAGCAAGCAGAATGGATGCTGAGGCCTGAGCCATGAAACCGTCATGTCCTGGGACAGGTGTGACCAGACATCTGCAGAGCAGGCAGATCGAGAGAGTAAGGGTATAGGAGCCACAGAGGGAGTTGGAAGGCAGGTGTGACTGGTGGTGATAGAGCTTCAGAGATGAGGAGGATAAGATCAGAAAGCTCCAGAGAAGGAGCAGACAGTGCTAAGGAGAACCGTGCTCCTCTGGCCGCTCCTTACCTGCTGCCTGTCCTTCAGGGGCCTGGCGGTGCTGATCATGGCCTGCCCCTCAGCAGAGAGAGTGTTTCTTGTGCTCTGTACATGGGCCTGTGATTCTCCCAGACAGCAGCCATGCAGTGGGCAGTACTCACCTCCTTTGGAGTCCTGGAGGGAAAGGTCTGAGCTTCCCTGGCCTCAGAGGTGGCATAGGACCTGGACAACCTCAGTGAATACAGTGGGGGCAGGAGGGGATTTCAGCTTCTGCCCTGTACTGTGACTCCTGTGACATAGCACCACCTGCCTAACTCTTCATGATCTGGGAGGTCATGAAGATCTGACTCCACCCTACCACCTTGGTTCCTAGAACATCAGGAAAGGGACAGCCCCATGGGCTTCTGGGCATTTAGGAACAGCTAGGGTTAGAGAGGGTTTGTGAGGACAGAGTAGACCAGACATGTCAGTTGCTGGCCCCAACAAGTGTGAGAGGCAAATCTGTGGCCTGAGGAGGGGCTCCCCTAGTGCAGGTGTGATGGACTTTCCCCAAGGCCCCTCCCTCTTCTCAGATCACCCATTGACAGCCTGTCTGTCACTGTCTGGTTGTCTGGTGCAGGTTGATGTCTGTGGAGGAAGAACTGAAGAAGGACCATGCCGAGATGCAAGCTGCTGTAGACTCCAAACAGAAGATCATTGATGCCCAGGTGGGAGACTCTGTCTAACTCTTTGCTTAGCTGTGGGTATTGGAGGACCTGGGGTGAGGAAAGCATGATTTTGGCTTCTCTGACTTCCTTAGTCATACCTCATTGCAGAAACTGAGGAGGAGTAAGAGACCAGGATCTTTGCTCTAAGAAGTCAATTTTCCTGACTAGCACAGGCTCTGAAAGGGGACGGGCAGCCCATTCTGCTGCTGGGATGCTTGGGATGCTGAGCAAGGATTGGGAGCTATTGGGAAAGGGGAGGAGTGGGCAAGGCTGGGGATGGGTAGTAGGCTGGACAGAGGGAGGACTGGGACTCTTGTTCAGTGCTTTGACTTTCAGACTTAGGAGGAGAGACACACAGGACACTGTGGCTCTCTGGGGCTCTTTCCTCATAAGCCATGAATCGGGAGACTGTAAAACTACCAGACTAGTGACCTCTGGTGTCCCTCATGCACATGAGCAAGGATGACTGCCCTCAGGGCCTCAGGTGACTTGATGGGTACAGCTTCTAGAGCTGCACTGTCTGGGATGAGGAGCGGGCAGTAAGGTCTCTGTTCATGATGATGCAGAGCCTCTTCGCATGGCACCAGCTGCTCCACAGCCAGGTCCTTTCCCACGCACTTGGCATGAGTGCGTCCTGGTCCTCCTTCCCTGCTTCTTGTAGGCATCTGCAGCCCCAGGGAGGTCCCTTGCCCAGCATGATCTTCCCTGCATCCTGGAACCCATCTTGTGTCCCACTGACACCCTCCTTGCCCACAGGAGAAGCGCATCGCCTCCCTGGACGCTGCCAATGCCCGCCTCATGAGTGCCCTGACGCAACTGAAAGAGAGGTACAGCATGCAAGCCCGTAACGGCGTCTCCCCCACCAACCCCACCAAATTGCAGATTACTGAGAACGGCGAGTTCAGAAACAGCAGCAATTGCTAACCGGCCCGAGGAGGGAGGACCCTCCCCAAGGAAAGGGGGACTGTGGTGGCCCAGGGCAGGGTCTCGGCCGGGAGGCGCCCCACAGTCGCAGCCCTGCGCAGGTGGCAGGAGGCTGAGGTGCTCCCCTCCCCTCATCTGCTGTCCAGGAGGCAGCACAGAGGGAGCCACAGAGACTGACACAACATGAGGTGGGCGCAGTGCTCTCCTTCTCTCCACCCGCCTGGGAAGCGGGTTTGAGCACAGGCAGAAGAGACTGCACACTGGGGAGTGGGGACAGCCTGGAGGGAGCAGGGTCCTGCCAAACACATGTCTGATGGTTGTTGAATTGGTGTGTGTCACCTTTTCCTCCTTGACTGGCCAAGTGCATGTACCCCATACCCTCTCCGGGGAGGGAGCTGCCTGGAGAGGGGCTGGGTGAGGGCCAGGGTGCCACCCTGCAGCTTCCCTTCGCTTTTTCAGGGCCTAGGACTCTGGCCACCAGGCCTCCGCCCTGTGGGGCCTGGAACCTTATAGGTCAGTAGGCAGGCAGGGAGACAGTGGGGAGAACATGAGGGATTCTGGGGCCCCTATCCATCTCTGCCCTGAGCACCTGCCCCTGCATGCAGCCTGTCAGGGACCCCTCCTGGCTGTGAGGAACCAAGTATCCACCCCCACCCCAGTGCCTGTTCCACACTCATCACCTTACCTCCTTTCCCTCTTCAGTTGCATCGCCAAGTAGACCAGTGAGGATCATAGCTTTTTCTCCTGGGCCTTTGTGCCTGTGGGGAGGATTTAAAGCCTGCTACACTTGCCCCATGGGCCTAGACTGATGCTTTGCTAATATGCTTACAAATTTTGGCTCCCAGAAGCCAAAGAGCTGGGCAGAGCTGACCACATAGCACAGTGCATTGTAGCTGTTTTCTCTAGGGGCCCAGTGCATCCTGGGCACAGTGGCCCTCTGGGGAATGACCAGCTGGTGCTCACCCTGAAAAGGTGATCTTTTCTCTGATGGTTTAAAAGAAAAATTCTAAGGCCCGCAGGACCTGAGAAGGTGGATAACTGTGATTTTTTTTCCTTTCACAGTATGCATTAGAAACAAAAGCCCGCTTGCTCGCTTGCTGGAACACAGGGGCCTTTTAAATTGAGCGTGCGCACTGCATGGGAAATAGCGGCCCTGGAGGATGTTAGAGTTGCTCCCTCTCCAAGACAGCAGCAGCCTGCACCAGGCCCTGTGTGTGCACCTGCCTCCTCCTCACCCTTCCCGGCCCCAGCCAAGGACCCAGGCGCTGCAGGCAGGGGAGGGGCACACCCCACAGCTGGGGCTGATTTTCCTCAGCTCTAGGCTGTTCTGTAGCATATCTGCCCCTCCCCACTTTGTGGGCCATAAATGGGCAGGAGCTTGGCTCTACTTGGCCCCCTCTGTTCTCACACCCTACAGAGTCCAAGCTCTGGCCCTGGGTCACCTATGGCCTTTGCCCAGACAATAGAGCCAGGGCTGGGTGGGCTGCAAGAGCCACCACCTCTGCCCCAGAGCCTGGGATGTGCCAGAGTCCCTACCAGGAAGGGTGGAAGTCCTGGAGGAGTGGCCCAGAACCACACTGTACCCCATCCTGAGCCCATGCACAGGTGACATGGCTGCTCTGTGAAGGGCTTTTAGATGTAACCTATAGCCCAGTTAGGCTAGGGACAGATGTTGGTGGAGAGTGGGCTGGGCCACCAAGGTCAGAGGCCTCAGGAAGGAAGGAGGTAGGGGCTGAGGTCCTGCTGCCTCTCTTCCTGCCCCACTCCTGTCCACACCTCTGCACCTGCGCGTTTCAACCAGGGTGGCCTCTCCAGCAGGGCCTGGTACCAGTGCTGTTTTTCTCCCACTGCCCAGGGAGACCTGCTCTCCTCCCCACCCACCCCGTCCACCCATGCCTCATAGAGTGACCTTGGACTCAGCACCTCCGAGCAATACAGGGAGGTCCCTAAGGCCTGGACAGGAGGGCATGGGAGCCAGTCGCTGTGGCCTCTGTGGCCACCCTTGGTGGAGGTTGAGAGCTCTCCGGCCGAGAGCCTTATTTACCTAGTGCAAAAACTGTAAAAGTGTACAGACTCTTCACAGATTTTTATCTTATTGCAAGTCTGAAGATTTTTGTAAATGTTCTTGGTGTTTGACTGTAATGTAACTATTTCACCCAAGGGATGTACATAGTCCTTTAGTCCTGGTGCTGTGAGGGCCGGCCGGGACCGCTGCTCTCCAAATGGTTCATACCGTACCTTGGAACCTAGAGGACAGTGTTGGGCAGGACAAGGAGCTTTGGGATCTGGGTGTTTGTGTCTCTTCCCTTCCCGTGGCATTAATTTGTAGGCTTTGCAGCATGCTGTCCTGGTGGAGGCTGGTGGGGACATGTGCTCTGATGGGACCAGTAAAGAGGCCTTCTGTGCAAGGCCATGGAGAACCTGCACCGCAGGCCAGAGCCAGGCCTGGGGTTGCCAGAGGTCCCTGAGGGAAGGATGGTCCCTGCTCAGGGAAGGCCACGCTCCAGAGCTCCCTGGCCTCCAAACTCCAGGTCTGCTGGTGAATGCTGCCCCACCAGTGCAGAAACCTGGCCTTTTTTGCTCAGTTCCTGTATTCAGGGTAAAGGAAACTGCCAAATTTCTCATGAATGAAGACTTCTCTGACTGCCCAGGAAGGGGTGGGAATCAGGGCCAGAGCTCCACATGCACCACCCCCAGCACCTGCCCGAGGGACACCACTCCCTCACACCTGTCCATCTGGGAGCCAGACTGTCCAGGGAACCAGCCCCTCTTTTCTACACACTTGGCCACAGGCTACCCCTAGCCCTCCACTGTGTCCTAGCCCCACCTTTGTAAGTATGTGAAAAGGAAAAATGCAAACGTTGGAGTTTGGCTGGAGTGCCTCCTCTAGCTGTGACTTTTAACCATGTAATAATGTACAGAGAAGTTGTTGGTGTTCTAAGACTGTGTGGCTGTGCAATTTCTGTACATTTGCAATTAGAAATATTAAAGATTTATTTAGCTATTTTAAGCCTGGCTCGCCTCTCTTTTCAGCTGTGTGTTGGGTGATTTTATAGGGGTGCCTCTGAGTCCTGAGCTGATACTATACATTACCAAGGGGATCACATTCTTGGCTCCCCTTGGGCAGGGGCAGCCCCTCAAGCGAGTGGCCCACTGGGTGACCGGAGATCCTCCTCCAGGTCGGGGTCTTTGCACCAGCAGTGGAGAGGTGATCTCTTAAACCCTCCCCTGGCTCCCAGGGGCTCAGAAGTGAGGTCTTTGCTGGCCCACTGCCTCATGAGAGAGAGAATGGCCACTGTGCCTTCCCTGCAGTGGACACCAGCTCCTGCCAGGCTCTGCATGAAATGCTCTCTCATACCCTGAAAAAGGTTTTGAGATGAAGAGACCAGGCAGGGCAAGACATTGGTCCAGGGTCACCAGCAAGTAATGAGTGATTGGGACAATGCTTTCCAAGCTTTCAGCACCCAGAAAGGCTGACTCAAGCTCTCCTGAGCCAGACCTACCTGCAAAACGGAACCCAGGGCCCTAGTTGGGAAGGAGCCGACCTGCAGCCCTTCAGCTGCACCTGCTGAATGGTGGAGAGAGGTTGAGGTCTGGAGCCTGCCCAGCTTCAGCATCCTGTCTTCCAGTGCACAGTAGTCTGGGGTGAACCCATGGAGAGTCCAGGGACAGAGGTGTGTATCCTCAAATCTGCATTTGAAGCCCCAGGTCTCCTGCACAGGGCCTCTGGCTCCAGCTGGGGATTGGAGCCTTCCCTGAGAGAACCCCAGAGCCACTTTTGTCCTTGTCCCTGCAGCCAGTGGGAGATGAGGGGCAAGCCACAGTAGGGTGCTCTAGGTCCACCCTTGCATTCTGCCCCATGCACTCTGGGTGACCACAGCCACCTGTCCAAAACCCTGGCCTCTCCTATGAGGACTTCTCCCTCTATTTCAGCTGCTCCTGGGGTTCACCCGACTGCTGTCACCTTCTGCCTAGAAAAGCAACCTCCTTGTGATGCTGCTCTCTAGGACAAGCCGCCAGGCCTCTCTGTCCAGCTCTGTTCATCACACCTGTCCTCAGGCACCTCCCCCACCAAGCCCAGGCCATGTCCCTCCTCTACCCCTTCTTTGACAGCGTTCTCTTACCCGTAAGTGGTGGGTCCACCTAATGTCCGCACTGTCTAGATGACAAAAACAAAGGTCACCAGTTCATACCATGGCCAAAGCTAATCCGAATTTGTGTCTCTCCTTGTCTCCTGGCCAGCCAGCTCTCCCTTCTGAGAACCAGGCCGCCTACCTCCTGGGTGGCCCCACCGCCCCAGGCCACTACCAGCTAACTACCAGCTCTCCACAGCCACAAGAGAGGAGGCACCCTGTTCCTTCCCAAGGCAGTCCCAAGCCCAGTCAGTCCCTGTATCCCACCTCTTGAACCTCCTCTCCCGCCAATCCCCCTGTAGTCCTGGTTCTTTCCCACAGCTTTCTTACTTTTTAAGCTTTTTTTTTTTTTTTTGGCAGGGGGGGTGGTACTGGAGTTTGAACTCAGGGCCTCATGCTTACTAGGCAGGTGCTCTATCACTTGAGCTACTCCATCAGCCCTTTTTGGTGTTGACTGTTTTTGAGATAAGGGTCTCATGAACTGTTTGCCTGGGGTGACTTTGAACCATGATCCTCCTGAGTAGCTTGGATTACAGGCATTAGTACAACACAGGTGCCTGTCCTAATTTTTTTTTTTTTCCTGAGATAGGATTTTGCAATGTAGCCCAGGCTAGCCTGGAACTATGTGGCCCAGGCTGGCCTCAAACTTGTGATCTTCCTTCCTCATCCTCCTGAGTGTGGGGATTATAGGTGTATATCCCTATCCCTAGCCTTTCCCAAAGCTTTGTAAAGTGCCAGATCACCACCTGCTTCAAGCTGTGTTGTCTTTTCTCTCCTAGCCAGTGTCTTAAAAGTATCCTGTCTTCAGGGACCTCCCATCTCCGTCCTCATCTCACTTCTACCTTCACCTCCCACACCTTTGTCTATCTTTTCATTGTCATGCCCATGGGCCCCTGGGGGGCCTCTGTAGTGCCATCCCCCATCCAGGTGATCAGGGATCTGCGTCCCTCTGTAGGGATGATGTCGTTCAACTGACCCAGAACCCAAGTAACCAGCAATGAATGAAACAAAGAAGTCATTTCATATGGATAGAAGACATTTATAACGAAGGTACAAAGAACATCAAACAAAAAGCCAAAACTAACAAATGGCAAAAAACTGCATTGGAGATAACACACCATCAGCGCTAGTTTATTACAGATCAAGGAAGCAAATGGAAGGACCTAGAGGATTTTAATAAGTTGTAATAAGGAGGGTCACAGAGACCCTTACCCTAGAGAGAACACACCTTTCGGATTACAATTTGAGTCATTACCCGAAGTTGGCTCTCCTGAGACACGAAGAAAACCTTTAGTTGCCCAGAGAACCAGTTCAGGACATAACCTGGGCCTTAAAGCAATGAAACTAGAGAGATAATAAATGATTTTTTAAAAACTCAGCACACCATCAGGAGTTTTTAAAAATGGTGAATCAATAGAATGAAATATCTTTTGAGACAGGTTCTCACTATGTGTGTAACTTGTGGTCCTCCTGCCTCAGCCTCCCAAATGCTGGGATTACAGGTGTGCATCATCCAGGTGCTAGAATTAGACTTTTTAAGTCTTCCAATTGAGCAAGGAATATTGACCACATGCATTTATCTTCTTTTCTCCCCAAACATCATTATACTGACAGGAAAAGAATAAAGGGGTTATCAGCTATAAGGACAAAATGAATGTGGGAGGAGATAGGAGATAAGGGAATTGAGAAATTTTGTCAGTTGGAAGCTGTTGAGGGAGTATGGAAGAAATTAGCAGAGAGACTGACTTGGAGCGAGCTCATTGCTCCATGGAGCCCCCAGAGGGTCTGGGGGGGTGGGCAGGAGGCAGTGCAGGGGCACTAGCCCAGCCTTCCCCCACCCCTGCTTTGCACAGCCAGGAAATTCTTCCTCCCTCATCTTGCAAGAGGCTATGCATGTATTCTCTGCAGCCACTGAAACACGTGTGCTCTGGACCTGGGGATACGAGGCAAAGCAGAAGACTTTGTAAGGTACAAGGCAGAAAGCAGGTGACAGGAGAGAGTGAGCCTCTTCCCTCTCCCAACAGCCACCTCACTGCTTCAGAGACCCCCAGGCAGCTGACTGGAGTGTCCTCTGGGACAACTAGCTTCAGAGAGACTTCCAGATGCTTCCTCAATGAAAAGACTTAGTCATCGTCCCAGCATCCCACACTGGTACCTACCAGTCAAGATGCCCTGCTCATGTCACACACACACAGGTTATTGCAGAGTGGACATGGCCAAGGACCCCCGACAGTTGAAGAAATACTGATTGCCATATGAAAGGAATTTCTCCAAGTTAACCAATCTCAAAAAGGAAACAGAGGAAAAGAGCATTTATTTTTCTCAGATAGGGTCTTGCTTTTTTTTGCCCAGGGCTGGCCTCAAACCACAATCCTTTTACCTATGCTTCCCACATAGCTGGGATTACAGACCCATACCACCATGCCTGGCCAGAGAATTTCTTTAAAAAACAAAAAGTATAATATCCTCAGAGAAAACAAGAACAGGACGGTATGAAAAAGAAACAAGATCAGGAAAGAGCTCCTGAACTAATCTTAAAAAAAAAAAAAACTTTTTAAAAATACAATATCCAATAGAAGTAATGAAATACAAGGTTGAGATACTCTTCTAGAAGTAGATCAAAATACCCAAATAGAAAACAGGAGAGGGAGAAAAATCTAAAGATGCAATCCTGTGTGCCTAACATTCTACTACTAGGAATTCCTGAAGGAGTGAAAGAATATGCAGGAGTAAAATTCCCAAAGGAATAATAAAAGCTCATCTTCCAGAGCTGAAGGAAGGACTCATATGTCCAGGTCGGAAGAACCTGGTCCAATAGAAGGAAAACCCACAATGAGGCATGGGACTGTGAAATTCCCACGCACAACCAGAGCCATGCTGATGTCCCCTTACCCCGGAGCCAAGAGAAAGGATGGGGAGGTTGAGGAGGCAGGTGGGTACCAGGGATGCTGTGGAACAGCAGCCCAAAGAGTGGAGAGAGACTGGTGTTCTTAAGAATATCTCAGTTAGAGATCTTGGTAAGAAATTGTGAAGTTACATTGCACCTGGTCAGCACAGTCATGCACTTCCCTCTGGCTGTGGTCAAAAACTAGTTAATGCCCTAAGGGACAATAAAACCATCACCAATGGACTGTCCATCTTTTCCTGGAAGAAATTTAGAGGTTAGGGTGTGACTGCACAGAACCTGGGCTTTTAATCTACAGCAAAATGGCAAGTTTTGGGGAGATGTGCTCCCCTATGATGGGGGGACCACTTGGACAGGCCTCTTAAACAATTCTTCAGTAGAATACTGGAATGACAAGATGCCTTCCTTTGCCTTGGGTTCAAGTTTAGAATAATTTTTCTGAATGCATCCTGACAATTCTCCATAGTCATAAAGCCTGAAGCCTTGGTGACTTGGTAAGAAAGAGCAACTATTTCAGGCCCACTACAGATGACACCCAGACCCAGTGTTGAGAGACAGCAAAGGGCCATTATCACATCATACCATCCATTCCATGTTGACACCTTCATTTCTATACAGTGCCACTGCTCCTCAATTCAGAGTCAAATGCCACTTGAGTATTTCACAGGCATCAAATATAATGTGTCTGATACAGAACTCTTGACTTTTATGACCTCCAAACTTGTTCCTTTTCTCACTTTCCAATCCCCAAAAAACTGCTCAACCATCCTCCCATTTGCTCAAGCCAAGTGCTAAATGTGACTTCTTGGTTCTTGTGCTTTAAAAGGGATGTACAGATTTAGAACAATGTTCGTGATACAAGTAAAAAGCAGACAGTCAATCAGGATGCCTTCATTTCTTTGAAGAAAAATAAATCCCATTGCATATAATAAATTACACAGGAGGACTGTGTGGAAGC